AAAAAAGGAGGAGGATTGGCAATAGATGTTAGCTCAGAGCCGGTCTTCCTCAGCAAAAGAGGAGGATTAGCATGGATGTTAGCTCAGGGCTGATCTTCCATACAAAAAAAAAAAAAAAGAAATACAAAATAATAATAATAATAACCCCAAATGGAAATAAAGCCTTTTGTCGTTTGGTTTGGTTTGCAGAAATGTTTGTCGTATCACGATTTGGAAAAAAACAAAAATCTTAAAGTTCCAATATCTGGACTGGCTCAGCAAATTGTAGTAGCCACCAATTTGAAAATGTGTGCATGAAAGACTTGTGGAAATGAGGAATACTAAACATTGTTTCGTAGCCATATTCGATCTCCCAATTCTAATGTGGGGTTTGTTCCCCACACAAAGCAATTCTGTACAACACCAGCTGGGTGTCCTACAATTTAACTCAATACTAACTCTATCAACCTGGAGATGGCATCAGATCCCACCAGTTAAGAGCTTAGTCCTGCAAGACTCTCCACTTCAGACGCCAATCGCAAGTCCAGGTGTCACCTGTGCTTCTGAGGGAATGGCCATAGATTGGAGGTTCCAATCACAGCCTCACACCGGCCCTCTTCCTTATGACCAGCAGAATCCAAGTTGCACTGCATCTCCACTTCCCAAGACAGGGTTGCAAGGAGGCACCTGCACTTCTCCCTCCAGCCTCCTCTCCGTTCCTTGCCCTCCTCTGCACCCTCCAGGTGAAAGATCTAGCAGGTGCTGTTAGACTACGAGGTTTGGGTGGAGAGGTGCTCTCCCTCATCTGCCTCTTGAACCATCCAGAAAACTGAAGACTCCCGCTTTCAAGTCAGAGGCAGAATCGGAGTGGGTGATGGTCTGGATTATTGCTCAGAATTATGCTCACAGACGCCAGCGGCAGGACGCCGCTTGCCGGTGCCTGGGTGTCTGGGTGCTCTTGAATTCCCATCACTCTGACATCAAGGACTAAGGAAGAAAATGCCTTGCCACGAGAGGGCAGAACTCCCAATTTTGCTGGATTCTGAACCATCTTTCTTTCTCTCAAAATCTTATTTTAAATGGATTAATATAAAATGTTGGAGGATTAAATTGACAGCTATGAAAAATTTGAATATTCTCTATAAGAATATGATAAAGGTTCTTTTTTTTTTTTTTTTAAGGCAACCAAAAAGTAGACCACCAGAATAGAAGTAAAGGATTCTGAAGGGTGCCGGAATCCATCACGCCAAAATGTGCTTCTTCAGCATAGAGATTTGGAGCTGGAGGCAAATGAGAATCAGCAGATACAGAAAGATGCCTTCCTGGGGCTCCCCTTATCTGACCAAAAGCAGAAACCTCTGAGAAAAGAGAACTGCTGTAAATGCCCTCTCTGGGGAAGTTTTATGGCCACGGAGGAGGAAGTCAGTGCCAAAATGGACCTGCACTACTAACGTTTTTTTCCATTAACTTCTCCCAAATATTTACCTTCCCACAGTTTGCCACCCTAGGAAGCCTCAAACCCTTTTCCTTTGTCCTGTCACTTCTCTGTACATTTATTCTTTGTTAAGATGCTCTAGAAGCCCAAGTTCTAACCACCCCTTTGAGTTACTCATCACTGAGGTTTCTCCCCACTGATGCGCACTGCACACACTAATAAACTGTTTTTCTCTTGTTAATTCATTTTTTTAAATAATTTTATTTATTTATTTTTTCCCCCAAAGCCCCAGTAGATAGTTGTATGTCATAGTTGCACATCCTTCCAGTCACTGTATGTGGGACGCGGCCTCAGCATGGCCGGAGAAGCTGCGCGTTGGTGCGCGCCCGGGATCCGAACCTGGGGCCGCCAGCAGCAGAGCGCACGCACTCAACCACTAAGCCACCTGGCCGGCCCTGATTCATTTTTTTGTCAGTCTAATTTACAGCGCCCCAGCCAATGAACCTAAAACGGATAGAGGAAAACGTTTTTTCTTCCCCTAGAGCTTTTGTGTGTGTGTGTGTGTGTGTGTGTGTGTGTGTGTGTGTGTGTGTGTGTGAGGAAGAGTCACCCTGAGCTAACATCTGTTGCCAATCCTCTTCTATTTTGTATGTGGGACACTGTCACAGCATGGCTGATGAGTGGTGTAGGTCCACACCCGGGATCTGAACCTGTGAACCCCAGGCCGCCAAAGTGGAGCGCGCCCCTACCCTAGAGCTTTAATTAGAGGACTTTGTAATTCCACATTTACCTTGTGTATTTGATGTGTGTTTCACTGCGTTTTGGGTTACCCTATTTTAAGTTCTGTTCTCACAAACTGGGCTGTACAGAAAGGGTTGGTAAAGACCCTCAGCTATGTGTGTAGGGGAAATGATTGAAGATAAGAGGGTGTTTAGGTTAAGGAGATCTGATTCCCTGGAAATTTCATGTCTGGCACATGGAAAAGGAATCGAAAGTAATTAATTGTCATTGCTCTTAAAAGACAGAGACGAGACTAAGACACACAACTTCCTAGGAGGCAAATTTCTAGTCGTTGTGGTTGCGATATTGTGAATTACAATAAGAAATATGTATTTAGTCTTCTTTCCCTTCCTGGCACAGAGCTCCTAAAACCCTTGGAATTTCCTGTGATGAGAGCGATAAAGGTGTCTTGATGTCCACAACAAGCCCCTGTCAACCACAGCTGAGTTTCTGTTAATGAGGTGACGTTGGCAAGCCCCTAAGGTTGGGGGCTGGTCACCTGGGGAACCAACCATGTGATTAGAGGGCTGGACTGTTCAGTCCCGCCCTACGACCTCCCTGGGGGGAAGAGGGCTGGAGGTTGAGT